TCTATCTATCTATCTATCTATCTATCTATCTATCTATCTATCTATCTATCTATCTATCTATCTATCTATGTCTATTTTTCTCTCTGTCTACTTGTGCATGCATTTACAATGCCGTGACAAAATAATTTTATTCCTCACCATAATAATCTAGTGCACAGATTATTTTCGTATCAAATAAAATTCTGTTATTTTATTGCTAATTATTTTACCTGTCTATAATATTTGTGACCTTTCCAGACATGCGGAACCCCGGCAAATCTGGCCACTGTATCATTCAAACAATCATCGGGATTGGTAAAACCGAAAACCACATTCCCTGTCGGTACCACACCGGCTTTTGAGATGGCCCTGTACACGGCCACATTTCTCATGTCGAAAGACCGACCACAGCGTGTCCATTTGGGCTCATGTGAGGTGGACATTGTCTGTCATCGGTTGGGGACAACGAAACTTGGTTCGTGCTATCTACAACCGATGACCAGGGGGAGAGAAATTATTGACACGGTGGCCGAGCGCTGACAACGACTGACAGAGTCCGTGGATATGTATCTCATTATCGGTCCCCGGTGCTGCCGTGACTTCATACATGACTGTGTACTTATTAATAATAGTTCATAATATAACCGTGATTTGACTGGATTTTTTCGTATCGATTTTTTTTCCAATTTCTTTTTCTTTCTGTACATTGAGATGAAAATACAGAATTAGGACGTATATCAATCAATCATCATGTCCAATTTCCATTCATTTTGAGTAAGGGATGGGGGAGGGGGGTAATCGACCAATGACGATTGAGTAAAGTCAAAGTTTTATTATGGGCGATTTGAACAAAGCTAAAGCTTATCATGCCCCCATAGGATTTTTACAGAATGTTTTGAATAACTTCACAAAGAGAAAATAACAATGATCATAATGTGCGTGATCACTTACGGATGTTGAACTTTTAAGTGTTCCAGTGCTTTAAATAGTTCAAATGTAGGAGCACACACTACATCAGTTGGAACAGGATTCCATACGCTGCACACTCTTACTGCAAATGAGTGATGCCGGCAATCAAGGTGGCTATTCTGGGTCTTCACCTTTGAGTGGATGTGCTCTGAGTTGATCATTATGAGATAAAGTCAGCATAGAACGGCAAGGGTGCTTGGGCAGATGCAGTATGTGATATGTCAATATTAGGTCTCCTCGAAGTCGGTGGTATTGGGATGAGTAGAGTCCCAATATTTGCAGTCTTTTGGAGTATGCCTTGTTATATAGACCTTTTACCAATTTCGTTGCCAGCCTTTGCGGACGTTCTAGAGCCTTCCTGTCGCGGTTTAATCATGGATTCCATACTTGGACGGCGTACTCCGTGTGTGGCCGAACGAATGCTGATAGCAAGCATGAGAACAGTGCTCTTTTGAACTGCCCGAAAACACATCTGAGTAGTCCAACTTGCTTTAGAACCATGGATGATGCTCTGGCACAGTGCGTGGAACATCCCACGTCCTCCTATACCATAACTCTCAAATCCCTTTCATCACTGGCATGCGGTAGTATTTGGTTCCCCAGAACATAGGAAAAGCAAGTCTTATGCCGTATAGAAATAACTCTGCATTTGGAAACGTTGAACTCGATGTCATTGGCGATTGACCATCAGTGGGCTTCATTGGTCGTTTGTTGGAGTGTTATATAATCCTCAGGATGTGCTACAGTTCTCCAGATCCTAACGTCGTCCGCAGATAGCAGTGTATTAGGCCCAAGTACATGTGACAGGTCGCTTATAAATGCAAGAAAGAGACGAGGCCTCAGTATGGATCCTTGAGGAACCCCTCGGGTAGCGGTGATAGGCTCTGATAATGAATCATTAACACGATCTGACTTGGTTC